TGACAGATTCAGGAAGACTCTCTCTCTTGTCCAAAAGGGAGTTCTCTTGTCCAACTCTCTGGTCCAGAAGAGAAGTTGGGGGCAGGCTCTGGTCCAGAATGGCAGTCGGGGACAGGCTGGGAGCTGGGGGCCGGTCTCTAAGTCTCAGGAATTGGCTGGGTTCTCGGGCAGATGTGCGTGGGGGCAGGGCGCAGAGATTTCAGGGGCTGCCGGGGGGCTTGGAAAGGGGGATCCCTCCCGGTGGAAATAGAAGGGGAGCTGCCGGGTGGCCAGAACCTGGCCCAAGTAGGGCAGGTCTTCCCGGAGTGGTTGGTGCCCAGGGATGGGGTCCGGGTTGGACACAGGTACTCACCTCTGGTCCAGAAGGGAAGTTGGGGGCAGGCTGGGAGCTGGGGGCCGGTCTCTAAGTCTCAGGAAGTGGCTGGGGTCTCGGGCAGATGGGCGTGGGGGTAGGGCGTGGAGATTGCAGGGGCTGCCGGGGGCTTGGAAAAGGGGATCCCTCCCGGTGGGGCTAGAAGGGGAGCTGCCCAGTGGCCAGAACCTGGTGCCAAGTTGGGCAGGCCTTCCCAGAGTGGCTGGTGCCCAAGGATGGGGTCCGGGTTGGACCAGGGTACTCACCTCTGGACCAGAAGGGAAGTCCTGATTTTATATCTTAAGGGCCTTTGTTCTGGTGTTGTCTCTGACTGAGGTAATGCCAATGTCAGCTGGCTAAAAAAGTATTCGTGACATCTCCCAAAAGGATGGGATTTATTTACTGAATGCCACTGATAAAGTTCTAGGGAGGAGAGGCTGCGATAAACATCGTCACGGATTCAGGTGAAGTTTGGATCTACAAATGGAAAAGTCACCTGGGTATTAACAACATTCACTCCCAGCTTTCTTGATAGAAAACAGGTATTTATCTCCTCCATTGAGCAGACATACTACATGAGTAACATTTGTGTTTTCTCCCATATTATTTGTGAGAATGAGTACATTATACCCTCAACATTGCCCTCAGGAAATACATCTCTAAACATTTTCAGCCATAGCCCAGCTGCTGCAGACAATGTATCATTTAACAGCTTCTGTCCTCTTTTTCTAGGTGTCCACCATGGTAAACCCACTCTGTCTGCTTTTCCCAGCACTGTGGTGAACTCAGGTGAAAATGTGACCCTTCAGTGTGTCTCATCCAAAGGATACAATGGGTTCATTTTGATTGGGGAAGGTCTGAAGTTCTCCAGGTCCCAAAAGGCACAGCTCATACACACTGGACAGTCCCTACCTCTGTTTCCTGTGATCTCCATGCCAGCCAGCCAGAGTGGTCCCTTCAGATGTTATGGATACTATACCAATACCTCACATGTGTGGTCAGAGGCCAGTGACCCTTTGGAGTTTCAATTCTCAGGTGAGGACGTCTCATCATTCACTCAACTGACACCAGAAATCTTTTATCATAAGCCATTCTACCTCAAGGAGGGTTCAAAGCCATAACTGCTGAAGGGAGCTCTTGAGTACTAAGGCCCAGACTATGAGAGGCCTTGGCACTTTCAGAGCAAGAGGGGATATGGAATGTATTACAAGAGCCACCTGGATGACTTCCTTGATGTTTCTTAAATCTTAGGTATAATATTTGTGTTTTTAAAGTATCCATTTTGAACAGGCAGTGGTAGCACAAGCCTTTAATCGTAGCACTTGGGAGGCAGAGAGAGGTGGATTTCTGTGTTCAAGCGCAGCCTGGTCTACAAAGTGAATTTCAGGACATCAAGAGCTGCCCAGAGAAACCTTGTCTTGAAAAACAAATAAAAGTGTCTGTTTGGACAGGGAACACCTACTCCACTTATTCCCATTTTGACTAGTTTTGGAGATCTTTGTGGCATCCAGCAAGAATGAGCCCTCCAGTTGTTATAGATACTGTATAAATAATCCCCATGTGTGGTCAGAGGCCTGTAACTCTCTGGATAGTTTTGGATCTCTATGATTTCCCCCATCTCTTGTGAAATAAGCTTTTCAGATGAGGGTTGAGAGCTACACTTACCTGTGGGTATAAAGATAAGCATTTAGAATGAAGTTAGAAATTATATTGGTGTAGGAACTTGGCAGTACTCATTTCTCTTTTAGAGTCCATATAGCCTCTCTAGATATGGATGCAAGTGTTAATTAATTTAAAAAATAAAATTTACTTTCTTAATACTGGCCTATTCTTTGATGATTTAGGTTCAGTACTTGTTAGAACATATCTGCATTCATGTACATTGTAAGCATATGTTTATGTCTTTTTTATTGCATTGTTTGTATTAACAACAATGTGATGATTAGAGAGTGAGATGTTAAACAGAAGCATTATGGCAACCTTGTGGGGTGGTGCAGGAAGAGAAGCCCAGACTGTCACTATTTTGACCACCTGATATTCAGGGGACCCTGAGAATAAGACCATGTGGCTAGATCTTGGGTTCTCAGCTGTTGAATCAGTGCAGGTTACTATTCTGTGGGGCTAATATCCTCGAGACTTCTATACTGCAGGCTGGGCTGGGAGCATTGGAAGGCCCCTATCCGGTGAAGGCAGAAATAACATTTTTCCATCTGAGCTCTCTTTAATCAGATAAACTCTTGTTTCAAAGAAGAGCCTTGACCAGCTGTTCTGAACTCCGAGAATATTCAGGCTGAAGAAATCAGGCCAAAGAACAGGAGGAAGATGCTACTGCAGAGAAAGTGTTCTTTCAATATTTTCATAATGTTATATCATGAGAATAATATGAATTTGTAGAAAATAAGATGAAACTTGACAAAAAGAATCACTTCTCTTGAGCACTGCACACACCCAGCAAATCTTTGTTTCTCAGGGTGCCTGACACCATCAGCCAACCACAAAATATGTCAAAAGCCATGACAGATGAGGAAGGAAAATTCTGCTTAGGGCATGGAACCAGAAGGTCAACATCTAGACAGGGGAGGGAGCTGTCACAGGGAAATTAAAGCATCTTATGGTGGCTTTGTTTGGTCCTGACCTCTCCGTTCATAATCTCCAGCCTCACAGCCCCAGGATCAAACAGTGGAGAACCTCATCTGGATGGGCATAGCTGGCTTGATCCTCATAGTTCTTGGGATTTTGCTGTTTGAGGCTTGCCACAGCCAGAGAAGGTCATTGAATGCATCCTAGAAGTGAAGAAGAAAGACAGCCATCGTTTTTGCCTGGTGACCAAGTTTGGGAAATAAATTTGAGGACATTTTGTGTTTTTTACCAGAAGAGTCCATGTTTAATAGTGGGCATCACCTGTGAGAAATAATCCAGGAAATAAATTTATTTGGGGTGCAGAAAAAGACCTGAATATTAGGGCAGCTGGCTCTTCTACCACCACATTAAAGGTCTTCCATTATAGCTTGCTGTGGATTTGAAGATTTTTCCCTCCATTTTTTCATTCCCTAATGTGGGGGAACATATTTTCCCACCAGTGAGGTCAGGGTCCTCACCACTCTCTATTTTCTAATTTTCCTCAGCCCCATGTGATATTTTCCTGTATTATTACCCACTACATTCTCCATTGTGCTTTATGTTCACATTTTTTTTTTGTGGGAAGATGTTATTATTACTATGAAGAAGGAATTTGACTCAACAGCAGCAACAACAACAACAGAAAATAGTGAGTACATGTCCAATTACAGAATGAAAAGAATGACCAAATATAAGGATGCCCCCAAAACATTGCACTCTCAAATCAGTCAGTATTCATCACACACACTTTGTGAGGTTTCTGCCAATTTACTTATATATTTTAAAACACAATTCTTTTTTGATTCTTTGGAAGATTCTCATCATGCTCCCCAATTCTGCTTATGTCAAAATCCCTCCATATCCACCCTTGACTCCTGCAGTGTGCTCCCCCAAATTAATTAAAAACAAAGCAAAACAAACATAACACCCACATCACCCCACCGTCTTACCAACACCTCACATCACCCCACCGTCTTTCCAACACCTCTTCATTCATGCCAGTGGCATTAGGAGCTGTGGTGTGTCATGCAGTACGCCCCTTTTGTCCAATCAGCCCCATTCCCAATATGTTCATCGCAATGAGTCTGGTTTCAGACTCTGGTTTCTGGTTCACCTTCATCACTGGGCCCTCACAGAAACTTCTCTTGGACAGCCTGTTTACGCCCTGAGTTATGAAGATCCTGTGGTGATCCTTTGGCAGGTCCAGGCCCTTCATGCACTTCAGAAAGTCGTGGATGGGACAGCTGTTAGGGTGGGCCCAGAATGTGGGTCTGAGTGGTAGAAGAGCTAGTTGGTTTGGGACATTAAGACTACACATGCAGGCAAGTGGCAGAGCAGCACTCCTTGGCCAATACCACTAGGGCCAGGTCTGCCAGGCCTGTGGTGAGTGTTGGGGTAATTTTTCCTGAATGCTAGAGTCTGCTCTCCCATGGGGAGACAGTGCCAAATCTCCTCAGTCCATCAAGAGGGAGGGCCAACTATGGCAGGGTCAGGGAGGGACAGAGTTGAATCAGCATAGCATTGGATTTCAAAATGCTTGGTTCCAATGACCCACTGTGGCAACATAACCTGTGAGCAACACCGCAGATCCTGGATGCTGTTGGGTCCCAGACCCAGACCTGATCCACAGCAGCAGCCAACGCCTGCTCCCATGTGGCTGTCCACTCCACTTGCACTGGCAAGATCCCAATGGCATCATGGCCCTAGGAATCAATCATGGCCACTGCTGGTGGCCCTGACTTCTGGTACCAGCACTGCTTTTGATGGTGTCAGGAGCCACCGATATCAACACAGACTTTGGCTGCAGTAGGACCACAGACACAGACATGGTCCTCAGCAAGAGCCCTGGCCCAGGTGCCTTGGCCCCATCAGAAGCAAGTCCCTTTGACACCAACATGGTCATAGGATGTGGTCTAGACCCTGGGCATCCTTTTGGCCTTTGGTGGCACCACAGGCCATGGACAACACAGAACTCAACTGTGATAGGACCACAGACAAAGACATGATTCTTCGGAGCAGCACAGGCTCAGATATCACCATGGCCCTAGGTGGTAGTACAGGCTACTCAGATCAACATTGCCCCTCTGGAAATGTGCCCCTCAGTCACCAACATGGCCCCATGTGGCAGCCCAGACCCCTAACATCAGTATTGCCTTGAATGGTATCAGGAGCCATGCACATCAACAAAGACCCTGGCTGTGGTAAGGCTACAGACCCAGACAATGTTCTCATCAGCAGCCCTGATGCAGAGGACACCATGGCCCCAGTGGCAGCATGGCCTTGAACACCAAAATGGCCACAAGAGTTCACCTAGTCCCTGGGTATTTGTGTGGCCTTTGCTGGCGCTGTGGGTCATGGACAACACCGACCTCAACTGTATTAGGAACACAGTTGAGGGTAGACGTGGTTCCAGACTGGAATATCATTCTGGCCTGGGTGGCAGGACAGGGTATTCAGATTAGCATAGCCCTGGTAGAAGCATCTACCCATCCCTCCCTGCTCTCACTTCTTCAGAATGGCCTCTCACCACAGCTCATGAACCTCTCCTCCTTTCTTCCTCTCACATTTTACCACCATATACTTGCTCATCACAATAGTGTCACCATGAGGACCCAGGGTGATCTATGGGGTTCTTTGGCCCTCCTGAACAACAGGGTCCTGGGAGAGCATTAGGTTCCTCAGACAGGCAGCACCATTAGGTCCCAGGCTGCCATGTAGGTTCTTTCACCTACCTGTGCTGCTTGACATCAAGCAACCTATGGATGCTTCAGGCAGGCTGGGCTCTGAGGACGTAGACTGCCAAGTGGTTGTCATTAGCACACCTGAGCATCATGGCATCTCCATGGATGCTTTAGGCCGGCTGGACTTTGAGGACCCAAGTTGCCCTATGTTTGCCACTCCTCCCCCATCAGAACTATAGACAAGTAAATGTTACAGTGCAAAGCTTTTTTCCAGGGATATAAATGCTGATACATTTCCAATATTGCTTGTCATAGAGGACCACACTGTTCTCAACGGTTGGGAGGTGGGAATGGTTGGTTCACATCTCCTGGTATACATAGTGAGTTCCAAGACACCCAGAGGTATGTAGTGAGACCCTGTATGAAACAGACATAAACCACACCAGCTAAAATCCCCAAAGCAAAGCAAAACACCAAAACCAAAAAAGATTGAACATATGATTCATAGGAACCCTAATATATCTCATTGGTTCACCAGCTAGATTTGTGTGAGACTTGTCTTTGTTTCTGTCACTTGTATATCATCTGGGGTGAGTAGGCTTTGTTCTTGTATCCTGAGGATAAGTTCACATGTCACTAAAGCTTGTCCATGGCAGGGTAGGAAACAGGCCATGAGTTTAGTTTGGCTGAAGTAATGAAGGAGATCCAAGAAGAAATCTTGAGAGAAAAAGACCAGACTTGAATCCCTTAGAGATAATGTTGGCTCAGGAAATCATTAGGTTTATACCCTGTTAAGTCCTGGTTCTAGGAGATTGGGAACAACCAGGCATATGTAGATGGTTACTATGGAGATGTTCTGAAAAAAGAGACCACATTAGATTTATATTTGTAATCTCAGGCCACAGGAAGTTGAGGGAGCAGGAGGAGTTTGACATTTGCATGAAATTCAAGAGTTTCGGTCTAAGAGACAAAAATAGAAACCAAGGAACCACCAAGAGACAGAAGCAATGTATTCTGTAGCCCAACCCATCACAGCACTGGTAAAAGAAGAGTCAGGTGCCTGGGAAGAGCAGTTCCCCTTTCCGAAGGGCTGCTATTAATTCAATCTCATGACATGAAGGAGAAGCTACGCTACATAATCCATACACTTTGTGTCTGTACATTTGGCAAGGAGAACAACACTCTGCAAACTTGTAGAAACTGGAAGATGCCATGTCAACCTTTCTCATATCTGTGCTGTATCTTGGTGAGATGTAAAGACTGGTAGGGAGAATTCTACTCTGAGAGTGAATCCACCTCACAACCATGCCTTGGGGCCTCAGGAAGTCTCAGCAGCTTAGAAGACATTTGGAAGTGGAGAGCTCATGTTTGATGTAGGATATACCCCTCACACCTAATCTCTCTGGAACTACTGTGTCCTTAAGAGAGAATATGACCCTGCTGTGTCAATCATCAGTCTCAGCAAACACTTTCTTTCTGTTCAAGGAAGGTGCAGCCCTTCCATACATGCATCAGAATCAAGTCTCAAGTTCCATAACATGAGGCAGAATCCTCCATGACTCCTGTGACTTCACACCCTGGGTATTCTTGCATATGCTTTACCTTTCAAAGTTCATCTCCTTACCTGTTGTCATACTCCAGTGTCCCCATCCAGATCAGGTGAGGTGATCCATTCCTTTGTGAGCTCAGAAGGTAACCCAGGATAATTGACCTAGGAAGCTTATGCTCGGAAAAGAGTAATTCTGCTTAGGGCATCAAAACAGAAGGTCAAATTCTATACAGAGTAGGGCACTGCTCAGAATGGAAATCCAGTTATCTTATGCTGGCTTTGGTTGGTCCTGACCTGTTTGTCAACAATCTACAGGCTCACATCCCCCCAGGATCACACAATGGAGAACCTCATCTTGATCAGCATGCCTGGCTCAATTCCCACAGTCTTGGGTTTTTGCTGTTTGCTGCTTGTCACAGCCAGAGAAGGACCCTGAATTCATCCTAGTAGTAAAGAGAAGAGACTATAATATACCTTGTCTGTTGCCAAAGTCTTGGAAATAAACTTGAGGATCTTAGGTGTTTTTTTTTTTTACAGGAAAATTCACTGCTTAATTTTTTAAATCACTTGTGAGTAAATATCTAGCATGCTAATGTGTTTTAGGTGCAGGAAATATCTCAATTGTTGGGGTGAAGAACTCTTCTACTACTACACTCCGACTCTTACCCTCTACTTTTTGTGGACTTTTGAAGAATTGTCATTCATTTATTTTGAGGCCATGATATGGGGGAGCATCTAGTCCCACCAGTGAGATTTGGGTTCTCACCTCTGTATATCTTCTGCTTTTCCTCAGTCAAAGGTGATATTTTCCTTTACTATATGTTGCTACATACCACATTGTACATTATGAGCCTCTCTGTCCTTGAGAGATCTTTAATATCATATGACCACCACCCTCCTACATTTCTACTTTATCTCCTTTAGACCATGATGAATTCCTACTGGAATATATGAGTACACAATTCAATGTCCACAATGCAGTCTTTCCTTTCTTTCCCTGGGCTTTTCCTTTTAGGTCTTCTAGCATTCTGTGCCAGAGCATACAACATCTACATCAGAGGATAAGCAGGTCAGGTTGCTTAGTACTGGATTTACATCTCCCCAAATTACCAGCTAAGCGAGCCACATTTCTTTATAATGATACAGTGACAAATTTCAAGCTATAGAAACAGAAAATGAAGTGATACATATTGAAGGGAAAAGCAATGCTTGAGTTTGGTATTTTCATGGTCAATTTGTAGAATTAGTGATGAAGATAATACCTTGAAGTATCTGCATGAGCTACTGGCTACTCTGCTCTGAGGGATGGGTTCAGTCTGACTTTCAAAGTGAAACTGATTCCTACATATGAGATAACATGCCTGTGGATATAAGCTTGGATAAGTCTATTTTCCTGTCAATGTGGGCAACTGATATCAAGATGAGCTATCCCAGTACCCATCTACAGATAGAGCATAGATACTAACAATCTTTTGGAGCCCTGACCCTACCAACCCAACCACACAAGAGGAAGTCTCCCTGCAATGATCCTTCACAAGTGTAGGTCCAAGAATTGCATAATGTTAATCTCCTTCCTTGAACACAGAACCTTCTGCATTTTGGGAACTTGGTTTTCAGTTCTGCTTTTATGCTCATGAGTGTAGTTTGGTAACCTTTACATTTGTTATCATTTTATAATTGAATTTAATTGTACATACATATCCTCTGTCCTCCCTCATCCTGCCCTCCCATTGGCCTCCCCCAAAACCAGCCTCCCCCCATTCCCATTTCGTCCTTGGCAAGGACTTCCCTGGGGATTCAGCTCAGCCTGGTAGTTTCAGTCAAGGCAAGTCCAGTGCCCTCCTCCCTTCACCCAGGTTGAGCAATATGTCTGTGCATAGGTCCCAGGCTCCAAACAGCCAACTCATGCACTAAGGACAGGTTGCTGTCCCACTGCCTGAGGGCCTCCCAAGCAATTCAAGCTAATCCACTGTCTGAGTATCTGGAGGGCTTGGGCCAGTTGGGGGATCCTCTGCTATTGTTTCATAGTTCATGTGTTTCCACTAGTTTGGCTATTTGTCTCTGTGCTTTTTCTAACCAAGTTCTCAACAACTCTTGCCCATACAATCCCTGCTCTTTCTCACTGATTGGTCTCCTGGAGCTCCACCTGGGGCTTGGCTGAGGATCTCTGCATCTGCTTCCATCAGTCATTGGATGAGAGTTCTACCAGGACAGTTAGGGTGTTTGGCCATCCTATCACCAGAGTAGGTCAGTTTGAGCTTTCTCTCAACCATTGCCAGTAGTCTATTGTGGAGGCATCTTTTTTTGATTCCTGGAGACCTCTCTAGCACGTTGCTTCTTCCTATTCCCATGGAGTCTACATTTATCATGGTATCTCTTTCCTTGTTCTCCCTCTCTGTTCTTGATCCAGCTGGGATCTCCTGCTCCTCTAAGCTCTCTTTCCCTGGACCATTGTCCTTTATTAACTCCCACTCACGACCAGTTTGCTCATGTAGATCTCATTTATTTCTCTGTTGCTGGGCAATCCCTGTGTCTTTCTTAACTTCCTCTTTACTAGGTATCCTCACTGGAGTTGTGAGTAGTAGTCTAGTCATCCTTTGTTTTATACTTATGAGTGAGTACATACCATGTTTGTCTTTCTGAGTCTGGGTTACATCACTCAGTATGATTTTTTTCTAGATCCATCCATTTACCTGCAACACTTTACAAAACAAGAGAGCAGTCCTGGCCCCTTTAACCATAACATTTACATAACCAAAATCACTTTCCTTCCAAGTACATTGTAAAACACTCTGAAAGTTAACCAATCCTTGCTCCTCCAAGTCACAAGCCTTCCTGAACACATAAATGTGGTGAAAATGACACTGATATTAGACAGTCAGGATGGTGCTGTAGCTCATAGTTGAAATGCAAACAACATTTAAGTTGGAATGGACATTTGTTTATAAACAGGCATTCAATCAAAATCAATTTTCACAAAATCCAGCAGGATCTGAACAATGAACTAGGAATACCAAAGTGGAAAGAAAGCAGATATGATATACCTATAAAATTCATGTATGTCAGCAAGAAATTCCAATGAATCTGTAGGAGATTTTTTTAGCAGAATAGTATCAAATACAGAACCATGAGAATACCATGTTTCCCTCTTCATTTCCCTGTGTGTCAGCTAGTTTTGTGTGTCAACTTGACACCAGTTAGAGTCATTAAAGGACTGAACCTCAGTTGAGGAAATGCCTTCATGAAATCCAACTGTAAATCATTTTCTCAATTAGTGATCAAGGGGAAAGGCACAGCCCATGGTAGGTGGTGCCTTCATTGGGCTGCTAGTCCTGGGGTCTATAGAAGGTAAGTTGCACAAGCCATGGGTAGGAAGCCAGTATGCAGGACCACTCCATGGCCTCTGCATCAGCCCCTGCCTCCAGGAAGCTGTCCTGTTTGAGCACCTATCCCAACTTCCTTTAGTAATGAACAGCAATTCTGAAGAGTAAGCCAAATAAAAACTTTTCTTTACAACTTACCTTGTGGTCATGGTGTTTTGTCACAGCAATAGAAACCCTAACTAATACAAGTTAGTACCAGTGTAGTGGGGTATTGTTGTGACAGACCTGACCATGTTTTTGGGAGGATTCTGGAAGGACATTGTACCTTTTGTCTAGAAGTGCCATTGAGTGTTGGGAGACCTCTGTAGAATGTTATGTGAAAACATAGAAGATAAGAATATTGAGAGAAGTGCAGAAAAAGGAGGCCTGATTTGCTTTTAAATTATTAGAGGGAAGTTTAAAGAAAATATGAGGGCCATTTTCTATTTTTGAATTAAGCACATATGGTTCTGGTTAGCTGGGACTGAAAAATCAACTGTGATTAACAAGATACCAGAACTACTAAAGCAATTCTGTGGTTCTGGGTAGCCTGTTCTGAAGAATCACTGGTGATTAACAAGATACAAGAGTTACTAAAGCAATACTGTGGTTGGGGTTAGCTAGAGCTGAAAAACCAGTAGTGATTAATGAGGTACCAGAATTACTGAAGTAAAACCTTTATGATACTGGGATAATAGAAACTACACAGCTGGAGCTAAGATATTAGCAGAGATTAAGAAGAGACCAGCATCACTGAGAAGAAATCTGACTGGAAGTATTTCTGAGATCACAGAGAATCTGTGTTCTAGAGGCAGCCAAGGTTGGTCATGGTGAGTTATCCTGACTTGGTAATGTGTAGGAATCACCCAGGTGATTCTGGTTTTGAAGGCATGAAATGGTCATGGAGATCAGTGGATGACTGGCATTATGAGAGGAAAGGAGAGGCCACTGGTGAAGGTGCACCCTCACTGGCAGTTGAAGGCTCGGGGCTTAAGGAGTCTTGCCAAGAATTTGAAGCTTGGCACCAAGAGGAGAGTCTATGAGAGGATATTGGTAAAAGTGAAGCCCAGTTGCAGCAAAGGAACCTTGTGGCTTGGAGATGCCAATACAACATGATAAACACGAAGACCAATAGTAGGTGTCGAGAGGAGCCAGTCAGAGCCTACAAAATGAGCTGTGTTTACTGCAGAGGTCAGAGCCAGAGAAGTGACCCCAGTCCGTTAGAGTAATACAGAACAAGGTGAATGGATCCCAGATATTAGAGTGTTCCAATTTTCATTTTGCTTTGATTTGATCAATACTGTGTCCTAATTTTTCCCTATTGAAGTTATTTTATTGGAGTCCATAGCTGAGAGACTTTGCATTTTTAAAAGACTTTGGATTTTACAAGATTTTTTTAAAGGGACTAAAATTTATGTTTTGAATTTGCAAAGACTGTGAGATTTTAAAAGTCCGAGATAAATCTCATCCAATGACTGAGGGAAGCAGATGCAAAGATCCACTGCCAAGCCCCAGGTGGAACTCCTGGTGTCTAAAGGCGAGGAAGAGGAGGGATTGTATAAGTGAGAAATGTTGAGACCAAGATTGGAAAAAGCACAGATACAAATAGTCAAACTAATGGAAACACATGAACTATGAACCAATAGCTGAGGAGATTTTAAAGTTATTTAAGATGTTGTTGATGAGAAAGAAAGGACCGGATGTGGCTTAATAGTGATGTGTTTGTGTGTATACTTCATAAGCAGTCAGTTGTTCTGGCTCGGTTTTTTATGTCAACTTGACACAAGTAGAGTCATGAGATGAATGAGCCTCAGCAGAGGAGATACATCTATGAGATTCAGCTACAAGGCATTTTCTCAATTAGTGATCAGGGGGAAGCACACCATGGTGCATGGTGACATCCTGAGGCTGCTGGTACTGGGTTCTATAAGAAGCATGGCTGAGCATGCCAGAGAAAGCAAGGCAGTAAGCTGTTCCCTTTCATGACTTCTGCATCAGCTCCTGCCTCCAGGATCTTGCCCTGTTTGAGGTCCTGTCCTGACTTTCTTTTGTGATGAACAGCATTGCTGAAGTGTAAGCCAAATAATCAATATCCTCCCCAATTCGACTTTTGGTCATACTATTTCTTCACAACAACAGAAAACGTAAAACAGCCTGATAGTTTCCTCTGTGTTCATCTAGAAGAACTCATAGATCAGGTGCTCAGTGTGTCCCTTCTGCTATATTCTCCCAGGAGCATCAACCTGCATCTTCCATTGTTGTGAGTCACTGATTCCCAGACATGACATGACCTTTGGCCTGTTGAAATCTCTGTAGATCATATTACACACAGCAATATTCTTTCACAGTGTAGAGGGTCCTGAGGCTACTCCTCTTCTCTCAGAACTAGAGACAGTTAAAAGTTTCAGGCAAAGCTTTTTTTTCAGAGATATAACCACTGAAAAGTTTCAAGTATAGCTTAGCATAGAGGAGCACATTGACATCAACAGTTTGGAGTTGAAACTGATTGGTGGCTCCTGTCTGGTCTACACAATCAGTTTTGGAACAGTCAGAAGTACATTGTAAGATCCTTTCTCAACACACAAACAGAAACAAAACACAAAAACAAAGACGTTTGACCACATGCTTCTAAGGAACCCTAATATAACTTATTTATTAAGCAGTTAGAGTTATGTAGAGTCTTGCCGTTTTCTGTCACAGTTGGGATGAGTAGTCATTGGTCATGTTTCACCAGGAAAAGTTCACACAACATTTACAAAGGATATATAGGGCTGAATAGGAAACCATACATAAGTTTGGTTTGGCTGTTGAGATGGTCATGGAGATGGTCAAGATCGTCAAGGAGAACCAAGAAGAATTTCTGAGAAAAAAAGTCCAACCAGCTGTGTGAACCCTCAAGTGAGGGGGCTGCATCAGAATGTCACCAGGTTCACTTTATGTTATGTCTTGGTCTGAGGTCACTGGGAACATTCAGGCAGAAGTGGATGTTTACATGGGCACGTTCTGCAAGTTGAAACCACAATAAGATTTGGGGTTGTAATCCCAGTCCACATGAAGCTGAGGGATAAGGGGAAGAAGACTATAAACTGCATGAGATTCAAGAGATTCTGTCTCAGAAACCAACACAAAAACTAAAGGACCAGAAAGAGGCAGAAGCCACATATTCTGTAGCCCAACCCACCACAACACTGAAGAAAGAAGTATCATGTGTTAGAAGAGCAGTTCTTCTTCCTCAAGGGCTGCTCCTACTACATCTTCATGACACCAAGGAGAGGAAGACAGCGTTCATAGCTCAAATACTTTGTTTATTTCCATTTGGTAAAGGGACCAACTATCTGCAAACTTGTGGCAATTGGAAGATGCCATGACAACGTTTCTGTCAGCCATGCTGTGTGTAGGTGAGATGTCAAGATAGGGAGGGATAATTCTCGTCTGAGGGAGAATCCACCCTACAGCCATGACTTGTGCCATCAGGAAGGCACAGTAGATTAAATGGCTGGGAAGTGGATGCCTTCAGATATTTGAGTGCAAACACAGGTACTTCTTTTGCAGCACTGAATCATCTGGTCCTTTGGATGCCATCATTGGCAGGTGAGTGTCTTCACAGCTATTCCAGATTGAACATCATTTATGGGAATCACAGATAACTTCTGAACAGAGAAGATTGAGAACAACAAGTGTGGGCTGAGGCTGGGGATGCCTGAGAATGTCCTGGGTCTGAGAGCTTATATCTGAAAGGAAGTTTGGGGAACCAACTGTCATTTTTTGCAGGGGTCCTCTTTAAACCTATACTCAGAGCAGTTCCAGGAAATGTGCTTACTACTGGAGACCAAGTGACATTCTTCTGTCAAGGGCCCTTAGAGGCCAAGGAATACCGTCTCTGCAAAGAAGGAAGTCCAGATTGCTTGGTACCAACAACCCTTATAGAAACTGAGAACTTGGCCAAATTCTCTATCTCATCAATTGAATGGAACAATGGAGGCCAATATAGGTGTGAATATCAGAGTGCCAATGGTGTATTAGAACACAGTGACTACTTGGATCTTGTGGTGACAGGTGAGAAGACCCCTCTACAACCCCAGCATTTTCCTTGAAGAAAGGAGTATGTTCACAGAGGGGTCCCCTTTTTAAATATGTGAAGAGGGGAAAATGCTTCATATATGGATCATATGGGCACATGAGGATACAGCAAACATTATTGAAATTAATAAACAGATGCCTTTGTCTGTGGTCGGATAGTTGAAAGCAAGTGGATTTGGTAATTGTTGTTATGATGAGTTGATCTGAAGCTCTGTTTATACACACTACACATTCATGTATGTTTCTTGCCCTCTTCTCTCTTAGGAGTTCACAACAGCAATGTGACCCTGTCAGCCCTTCCCAGCCCAGTGGTGACTGCAGGAGAAAATGTGACCCTTAAATGTGTGTCACAACATCCATATGACAGGATCATTCTGATGAAGGAAGATGAGAAGTTCTCCCCGGCTTTGCCCACACAGAATATATACCCTGAGCTCTTTGGAGCCCTGTTCACAGTGGGTCCTGTGACCCCCAACCAGAGGTGGAGGTTTACATGCTATGGGTATTACTTGAGCAGCTCCCAGCTGTGGTCAGTGCCCAGTAGTGTCTTAGAGCTTCTGGTCTCAGGTAAGGAAGTACAGTCCTTTCCCTTGACTGTAATTACAAGTGACCCAGGATCCCAGGAAAGGAACTGATGTGAGGTGATTGATTGAGAGGCCAGACTATTGAAGAAGAGATTTATCCTGACTACCAGCTGGACAGGACACAGGAAAAATTTGACTACAGTGGTCTTTATGTGTCCTTCTAGTTTTGCAGATCAGCCTATGTGTCCCTGCAATGGTGAAATTCTGTGTGCAATTCTCCTAACAATGCACCTCCTGTCTCTCTACTTCTTTTCTGGGATCCTTCATATTCCCATCTGAGCCTGGCTCTGTGATCAGACCAGATAATCCTGTAATCATCTGGTGTGAGGGGATCTGAGGAACCCAAACATATGTGCTACACAAAGAGAGAAGACTAGAACCCCAGGGCAGACAGACTCAAAAGAATCACAACAATTAGACAAAATTCACCATCCCTTCTGTCATAACACTGCAGGCTGATATCACTGTTACTCTCACAACTTTGCTGGCTTTTCAGAATGCAGGACACCTTGGAGCTGGTAGATGAAAGTGTTTGAATACTCTGGAGTTATGTGGATCCCCAGATGTGACTGTTAAGATAAAAGTGTGCTCTGAATATAGCCCCATGTGTTAGTCAGGTCTGGGGAACATTCCAAACTGTGTGAACCCATTTAATATTTCATATGTATCTCTTCTAGGTGTCTAAAGTAAACCACTCTGTTTACACTGTCAAATATGTTGTAATCTTAGAAGGCTCTGTGATCCTCTCATGTATCTCAAATCAGAGATACAAGTCGTTCATTTTAATTAAGGATAAGTCTTTCTCCAGCTCCATGTACTTACAATATGCATATACCAGGCTGTCTCTTGCAAAGTTCCAGGTGGGTCCCATCATACTCAGTAAAAGATGGAGGTTAGCTATCCTCAAGTGCTCTCAGAAGGTAAAGACATACTGCAGGATCTAGTCTCAGAGGAAGCCCCACCCTCTGTGTTGAATGACACTGAACCTGAAACAGGTTTCCCCAGGGCACCCTAATGTAAGGTGAGCACAGAGAAGGACAGGTGGATTAGCACACAGATACAGATGGAGACTGTGTGAGTCAAGATACAGAAACCAATGAGAGGTGTGATAATAGAATGGGGGCTGGTGAGGGTCAGCAAAGATATGGATCTCCAGATGGATCCAAGTGTCCTTCTGCTATTCAAGAGTGAAGTCTGAGTTTCATATTCATTGTACAACTGTTTAAAGTCCCATATCCCTCTCACTTGCCTCTTTTCAGGGACCCTGCCGAAACCCACCATCTGGGCTGAGCCGGGCTCTGTGATCACCTCAGGGAAACCTGTGACAATCTGGTGTGAGGGGACAATGGAAACTCAAATATATATCCTATATAAAGATGGAAACCCAGCACCCTGGGCCAGATTGACTGCACCAGTGTCTGATCACAGGGCCACATTTTTCATCCCATCAATGAGAGCATATAATGCAGGACGATATCACTGTTACTGTTATAACTCTGCTGGGTGGACTGAGAAAAGTGACGCCCTGGAGGTGGTGGTGACAGGTGAGTGGTCACTAAGGATCACAGTCCTCACCCTGAAATCTTTGCTGCTTGCAGGGAAATGAACCACATGAAATTATGAGGAAAACTACGATCAGGCTGACATAGTAGTTGCCAGTTCACACTCTTAAAAGTCTGAAACCAGATCACTTATTGCAAACAAATTTAAACACAGAACAATTCAGCAAAAATAGATTACTGGTGTAATTGAAACCCTTTGAACAACTAGGCATAATTGTATCAAAACTCAACTCAAAGTACATTAGAACATGAAGATTGATTTTATATCTTAAGGGCCTTTGATCTGGTGTGGTCTCTGACTGAGGTAATGCCAATGTCAGCAGGCTAAAAAGTATATGTGACACCTCCCCAAAGGATGACCTTCATAAACAGAATGCCAATGTTAAAGGTCAAGGGAGGAGAGTCTGTGATAAACATCCTGAGGGATTCAGGTGAGGTTTGGATCTACAGATAGAAAGGTCACCTGGTTATTAACAACATCCATTCCTAGCTTTCTTTCTAGAAAACAGGTATTTAATTCCTCCATTGAGCAGACACACTACATGAGTAACATTTCTGATTTCTCCCATATTATTTGTGAGCATGAGTGCATTGTGCCCTCTACATTTTCCCTCAGGAAATACATCTGTAAACATTTTCAGCCATAGCCCAGCTGCTGCAGACAATGTATCATTTAACAGGCTCTGTCCTCTTTTTCTAGGTGTCCACCATGGCAAACCTACTCTGTCAGCTTTTCCCTGCCCTGTGATGACCTCAGTTGGGAATGTAACCCTTCAGTGTGTCTCTTCCAAAGGATACGATACATTCATTTTGACTGGGGAAGATCTGAAGTTCTCCAGGTCCCAAAAAGCACAGCTCATACATACCGGACAGTCCTTAGCTCTGTTTCCTGAGGTCTCCATGACATCCAGCAAGAGTGGTCCCTTCAGATGTTATGGATACTATACAAATACCTCACATGTGTGGTCAGAGGCCAGTGACCCATTGGAGCTACATTTCTCAGGTAAGGATGTCTCCTCCTTCGCTCAACTGACACCAGAAATCCTTTGTCATAAGCCCTTCTACCTCAAGGAGGGTTCAAAACCATAATTGCTGAAGGCCCAGATTATGAGAGGTCTTGGCACTTTCACAGCAAGAGGGGATATGGAACATATTTCAAGAGCCAGATGGATGACTTCCTTAATGTTTCTTAAATCTTAGTATAATATTTGTGTTTTAAAAGTATCCATTTTGGACAGGCAGTGGTGGCACATGCCTTTAATCCCAGCTCTTTGGAGGCAGAGACAGGTGGATCTCAGAGTTCAAGGACAGCCTGGTCTACAAAGTGAATTCCAGGACAGCAAGAGCTGCCCAGAAAAACCCTGTCTTGAAAAAAAAACTGTGTTTCTGGACTGGGAACACCTTCTCCACTTATTCCCATTTTGACCAGTTTTGAAGACTTTTGTGATCCAGCAAGAATGAGCCCTTCAGATGTTCCAGATAATATATAAATAAACCTAATGTGTGGTCAGAGGCCTGTAACTCTCGGGATACTTGTTGATCTCTATAATTTCCCACATCTCTTGTGAAATAAGCTTTTTAGATGAGGGTTGAGAGCTACACTTACCTGTAGGTATAAGGATAAGCATTTAGAATGAAGTTAGAAATTATATTTGGTTAGGAACATTGCAGTAATGGTTTCTCTTCTAGAGACCATATAGCCTCTACAATATAGATACTAGTATTATTTAATTAAAAAATAAATATTTACTTGCTTAATACTGGCCTATTCTTTAATGATTTAGGACAGAAGCATCATGGCAACCTTGTGGGGTGGTTCAGGAAGAGAAGCCCAGACTGTCACTATTTTGACCACCTGATGATATTCAGGGGACCCTGAGAATAAGACTATGTGGTTAGATGTTGGGTTCTCAGCTCTTGAGTCAGTGCAGGTTATTTTCCTGGGGGTATTATCTTCCTGTCTTCTATACTGCAGACTGGGATGGGAGCACAGGAAGGCTCCTCTACTGTGAAGGCAGAAATGACATTTCTCCATCTGAACTCTCTGTAATCAGATAAACTCTGTTTCAAAGAAGAGCCTTGACCAGAGGTTCTGAACTTAGAGCATAGTCAGGCTGAAGAAATCAAGTCAAAGAACAGGAGGAAGCTGCTACTGCAGAGAAAGAGTTCTTCCCACATTTTCATGATGTTATATGATTAGAATAATGTGAATCTATAGAATATAAAAGATGAAACTTGACAAAAAGAATCACTTCCCTTGAGCACTGCACACACCCAGGAAATCTTTTTTTTCAGGGATACCTGAGACCATAAGCCAACCACAAAACATGTCTGAAGCCATGACAGATTAAGAAGGAAAATTCTGCTTATGACATGGAACTAGACAGGGGAGGGAGCTGTCAGAGTGAACATTCAATCATCTTATGGTGGCTTTTGTTGGTTCTGATATCTCTGTTCATGATCTCTAGCCTCACACTCCCAGGATCACATGGTGGAGAACCTCATCCGGATGGTCATAGCTGGCTTGATCCTCATAGTTCTTGGGATTTTGCTGTTTGAGGCTTGCCACAGCCAGAGAAGGTCCTTGAATGCATCCTGGAAGTGAAGAAGAGAGACAGCCATAGTCCTTTCCTCGTGACCAAGTCTGGGAAATAAATTTGAGGACCTCTTGTGTTATTTACCAGAAGATTCCATGTTTAATATTGGGCATCAGTTGTGAGAAAGAATCCAGGAAATAAATTTATTTTGGGTGCAGAAAAAGCCTGAATATTGGGGCAACTGGCTACTGTACCACCACATTAAAGGTCTTCCATTCTACCTTGCTGTGGATTTGAAGATTTTTCCTTCCTTTCTTTTCATTCTATAATGTGGGGAATATATCTTCAAACCAGTGAGTTTTGAGTCCTCACCTCTTTGTATATTCTAATTTTCCTCAATCCCATGTGGTATTTTACTTTAATATAAACCACTATAATCTCCATTGTGCTTCATGTGCACATTTTTTGTTGGAGGTTGTTTTTATTATGAAGAAGGAATTTGTCTCAACCCAACAACAACAGAAAATAGTGAGTTCATTTCCAATTACAGAATTAAAAGAATGAGAAAATACAATGATACCCCCAAAACATTGCACTCTCAATCCAGTCAGTATACATGACAAACACTTTGTGAGGTCTCTGCTAATTTACTTATTTATCTTAAAACAATTATTTTTCAATTCTTTGGAAGATTCTCATCATGCACCCCAATTCCGCTCATCTCCCAGTCCCTCCATATCCAACCTCGACTCCTGCAAGGCTCTCCCAAATAAATTAAAAACAAACATAACACCCACCTCACTCCTCCATCTTTCCAACACCTCTTCATTTATTCTAGGGGCATCAGGAGCTGTGGTGTGCCATGCAGTACCTCCCTTTTGTCCAATCAGCCCCCGCAAAACTTGTTCATGGCAATGAGTCTGGTTTCTGGTCCACCTTCATCACTGGACCATCATAGAAGCTTCTCTTGGACAGCTTGTTTATGCCCTGAGTTATGCAGATCCTGTGGTGATCATTCGGCAGTTCCAGGCCCTTCATGCACTTCAGAAAGTCATGGATGGGACAGCGGTTAGGGTGGGCCTAGAATGTGCATCTGAGTGGTAATAATCTGGTTGGTTTGGGACATTGGGGCCACACACTCAGGCAAAGGGCAGACTTAGTAGTCCTTGGCCAATACCACTAGGGTCAGGTCTGCCAAGCCTGTGGTGAGTGTTGGGGTAATTTCTCCTGAATGCTAGAGTCAGCTCTCCCATGGGGAGACAGTGCCAGATCTCCAGTGTCCATTAATAAGCAGGGTCAGGGAGGGACAGAGCTGGCTCAACATGGCATTGGATTTCAAAACACTTGGTGCCTATGACCCACTGTGACAACACAAGCTGTGAGCAGCACCACAGATCCTGGCTGCTGTTGGGTCCCAGACCCATTGTTGTTCCACAGCAGCAGCCAAGGCCTGCTCCCAACTGGCTGTGCACTCCACTTGCACTGACATGGTCCCAATGGCATCAAGGCCCTAGGAATCAATCATGGCCACTGCTGGTGGCACTGACCCCTGGCATCAGCACTGCTTTTTATCATGTCAGCAGCCACAGATATCAACACAGACTTTGGCTGCAGTAGGGCCACAGACCCATACATGGTCCTCAGCAACAGCTCTGGCCCAGGTGACACCTTGGCCCCATCAGAAGAAAGTCCCTTTGACACCAACATGGTCATAAAAAGTGGCCTAGACCCTGGGCATCCTTTTGGCCTTTGGTGGCACCACAGGACATGGACAACACAGACCTCAACTGTGATAGGACCACAGACAAAGACATGATCATTAGCAGCAGCCTAGGCTCATATGTCACCATGGCCCTAGGTGGTAGCACAGGCTACTCAAATCAACATTGCCCTGTGGAAGTGTGCCCCTCAGACACCAACATCACCCCATGTGGCAGCCCAGACCCCTAACATCAGTATTGCCTTGAATGGTATCAGGAGCCATGCACATCAACACAGACCCTGGCTGTGGCAAGGCTACATACCCAGACAATGTTCTCATCAGCAGCCCTGATGCAGAGGACACCATGGCCCCAGTGGCAGCATGGCCTTGAACACCAAAATGGCCACAAAAGGTCGCCTAGTCCCTGGGGATTTGTGTGTCTTTTGCTGGTGCTGTGAGTCATGGAGAACACCGATCTCAACTCTATTAGGAACACAGTTGAGGGTAGAAGTGGTTCCAGGCTTGGATGTCAACATGGCCTGGGTGGCAGCATATGTTATCAAGATTAGCATATTCCTGGTAGAAGCATCTGCCCATTCCTCCCAACTCTCCCTTCTTCAGAACTTCCTCTCACCACAGCACATGAACCTCTCCTCCTCTCTTCCTCTCACAATTTACTACCATATACTTGCTCATCATCATAGTGTCACCATGAGGACCCAGGGTGATCTATGGGGTTCTTTGGCCCTCCTGACCCACAGGGTCCTAGGATAGCATTAGGTGCTTCAGGTAGGCTGGACAATGAGGTCCCAGGCTGCCCTGTGGTTGTCTGTCACCTACCTGAGCTGCTTGACATCAGACAGCCTATGGATGATTCAGGCAGCCTGGACTCTGAGGACCTAGACTGTCAAGTGGTTGTCAGTAGCCCACCTGAGCAGCATGGCATCTCCGTTGATGCTTTAGGCAGGCTGGACTTTGAGGACACAGGTTGCCCTATGTTTGCCACACCTCACCCATCAGAACTATAGACAAGTAAATGTTACAGTGCAAAGCTTTTTTCCAGGGACATAACCACTGATACATTTCCAATATTGCTTGTCATAGAGGACCACACTGTTCTCAACAGTTGTGAGGTGGGAATGGTTGGTTGATATCTCCTGGTGTACATATTGAGTTCCAAAACACCCAGAGGTATGTAGTGAGACCCTGTATGAAACAGACATAAACCAAACCAACTAAAAACCCCAAAGCAAAGCAAAACACCAAAACCAAAAAAGATTGAACATATGATTCTTAGGAACCCTAATGTATCTCATTGGTTCACCAGGTAGATTTGTGTGAGACTTGTCTTTGTTTCTGTCACTTGTGTATCATCTGGGGTGAGTAGGCTTTGTTCTTGTATCCTGAGGATAAGTTCACATGTCACTAAAGCTTGTCCATGGCAGGGTAGGAAACAGGCCATGAGTTTAGTTTGGCTGAAGTAATGAAGGAGATCCAAGAAGAAATCTTGAGAGAACAAGACCAGACCTGAATCCCTTAGAGATAATGTTGGCTCAGGAAATCATCAAGTTCATTCCCTGTTAAGTCCTAGTTCTAGGAGATTGGGAACATCCAGGCATATGTAGATGGTTACAATGGAGATGTTCTGAAAAAAGAGACCACATTAGTTTTATAATTGTAATCTCAGGCCACAGGAAGTTGAGGGAGCAAGAGGAGTCTGACATTTGCATGAAATTCAAGAGTTTCAGTCTAAGAGACAAAAATAGAAACCAAGCAACCACCAAGAGACAGAAGCCACATATTCTGTAGCCCAACTCATCACAGCATTGGGAAAAGAAGAGTCAGGTGCCTGGGAAGAGCAGTTCCTGTTTCCGAGGGGCTGGTATTAGTTCATATTCATGACATGAAGGAGAAGCTACCTTTCATAATCCATACACTATTTTGTCTGTACATTTGGCAAGAAGAAAAACTATCTGCAAACCTGTAGTAACTGGAAGATGTCATGACAACCTTTCTGATATCTGTGCTATATCTTGGTGAGATGTAAAGACTGGAAGGGAGAATTCTAGTCTGATAGTGAATCCACCTCACAACCATGCCTTGGGCCCTCAGTAAGTCTCAGCAGCTTAGAAGACATTTGGAAGTGGAGAGCCTGCTCATGTTTCAGTGCAAACATCAAAGTTAACTCTTGCAGGCCTGAATCTGGGTCTCAGAAAACCAGTGCTCATGGGTGACTATCTTCCCAGCTGTCCCTCATTGGACATCCATGGTGGAGACCACAGTCCTGCCCTGAACAGGTCATATAAAAACAATAGGTGTGAGCTGATAGTGGGGATGCCTGAAACTTCCTGGGTCTGACAGCTTCTGTCTGAGGGGGAGTTCTGGGGAAACAGCTGTCAATGTTCTTGGGGGTGTCCTCACTAAACCTGAGCATAGAGGGGGACCACCAAACTCCAAAGATATTCCTAACAGGGCCATGTTGTCCATAGGATCTATAGAAAACATCATGAAGGAAACATCACTGTTACTCTTACCAATGTGCTGGTTGGTCAGAGCCCAGTGACACACTGGAGCTGCTGATTGAAGGTGAGAGGACAAAAAGTGTCACAACCTTTGCCTCATTCCTCGGGAAGTATTGTTCTATAAGTATACTTCCAGAGCCCATCTGTTGGATACAGTTTGGGCTGTATTTTATTTAACAGGCTGACTGCTCCTCTCCCAGGTGTCTACCATGGCAAACTTACTTTGTCAGCCTATCACAGCCCTGTGGTGACATCAGGTAGTAATGTGACCCTCCAGTGTGTCTCATCAAAATTCTACAGTGGTTTAATTTACACTGGTGCATATTCTAAGTTCTCCAGGTCCCAAAAGGCACAGACCTTACACAATGAACAGTCCCAGTCTCTGTTTCCTGACATGTCTTGTCTTCACCAGGAGTTGGCCCTTCCGATGTTATGGATACTGTAGAAATGCCCCACATATGTTGTCAGAGTCCAGTAACTCTTTGAGATACATGTCTAGGGTGAGACTGTTCATTCATTCAACTGTTAGACATCAGAAACACTTTCTCATATACGCTGTAGAAACCCCAAGGAGGGTTTGAGGACATGATAGCTCAAGCGAGCTCTTGTCTGCTAAGACCCATGGTACAAAAAGACATGGAAATGTCAGAGCAGGATGGGATATTGAATGAATTGCAAAGGTCAGCTGGATGACTTCCTGTCTTTCCTCCTGCTGGGTATCTCAAGAAAGTCCTCCCTGCTGACCCTACAAAGGATCTGTCCTGGCCCGTGAAGAATACCTAACTCTCCAGTGTTCCTCTGAGATGAGTTATAACAAATTTGCTCTGTCCAAGGAGGGAGAAAG